CTGGCGCCAGCCTGTTGAAGACGTTGGCCTCAGTGAGCAGGGAACAGTGGAATGAGTGTTTTCTCGGTCGGCGTGCGTGGTACGGGAACAAATACCAGCGTGGGTCGGCAAACGAGAAAATCGATCGATTCCAAGTTTAATCCTCGCGCACTTGCTCCATAAGAATGACCAAGTTGACACGAGAGAGGCTTTTAAAGTCGTATACCAGGCACCGGCACACTACTCTAAAGGTCTGCGCAAACGAGTGCTCGCCACAACCGAAGCAGTGGCTATCTTTTTAGCAAAACCTAACTCTGCTATCAAAAGACGCTGATAGCTGCAGTCTGCCTACCTTGGCCAACTACACGAGTGAATACCAAGCCGCCCGAACACACGCACGCCGACCGTGAGAACACCAATCCCCCCTCTTCCCTGTTCACCGGAGTCAACGTCCTCAACAGGCAGGCGCCAGCATACGCGAGACGAGGGGACACCTTGATGACTAATTATACACCCTCTCTCCTACCCCGAGGACCATTTAAACACTACGTATAACTGATCATTTCAGTCCCTGCAAATGTATTGGCCTGATGAAGAAAACACGTGTTTGCCAAGATGACTTATTACTAGTAATTTTGCGACTGACTATGAGGCTCCAAGTCATGACGGAAGGAGTAGCTCTCGTAGCACGACCAGTGACTGCTTTCCTACACTAGTATATAAATACTTTTGCCAGGTAGGCAAGTAAGCATGTAATTTCCGTGGGTAAGACTGTTTCTCAGCTCCTTCCACATGCAACTCCTATGCTAACATGTGTGATGCTAGTCTGACATTGCCAGAGTTTACCGGTTGTTGACTATTATTTTAAAGTTTTCGTAAATGCATCACTTCCCGTTTACGAATGATTATCAATCGTTTGCAAATGTCGTCATGTTGCATGCGATAGGGCAAAAACAATAATTTTATTTGGTTTATGGGCTGTGAATGGTTGTTTCATCTTCAAGAGAGCAGCATTACTGACAAAGACAGTGGGGCCTAGAAGGGCCATTTCTGACTTATTAGTTGTCATCAGCTGAGTCTCCTAGGCGATCCGTGAGCGCGCAATCGGTAAGACAGCGAGCGCGCGACTCAACGGTTAAATCGCTGGACTTCTAAGGTCGCTGGTTTAGGCCTCACGTGGTACACCATCTAGGATTGTGGGTGGTTGGCTGGTGACGGCTAATAAGCCAGAAATGGTCATTCCAGTCTCCCTTTTCCTTGCCGGTAATGTTCTTCTGCCCACAATCCTAGCTACTGTGCTGCTGCTGGCGGGGTTCGAGAGTGAGCTCCAAAGTAGAACGGAAAAATGTGTCCCACAAGCGATCACTGACCGTGTTTTCACTAAAGTTTCATCTCCCTCCCCCCACGCCTCAGGGACATTGGGTCACTTTTTATCTACTGCCTTATCTGAAAAGCTAACATTTCAGCTCGGTAATCAAGCGCATCCGTCGATCAAATTTATACTTGAAGAACAACAGTTCGGATCGCTGTCATTTCTCTGCGCACTTCTGCGTAGAAGGTCTGATTGGAGTATTCAGCGTAATGTATAGTATGAAGACGTGCTCCGGGCAATGTATCCATTTTGTGGTTTCGTGACGTAAGCTAGTACGATGTTTGCTACAAATGGCGAGAAGGATCTGCTCTACCAATAGTCAATTCAACCGTCCGCAGGTAATCTCTTTGCGGTTGGTCAGTTTCCCCTGAGGTTGA